TGTAGTGACAGAGCTAGTGTAAGATTAGAACTACTACTAGACCTAGAACTAGAAACATTAGGGTTTAGCCGCACGTCTCTCAAGACGGCTAAACCCGAATGATTCTAGTTCTATGTATAGTATTAGTTCTAGTAACAATATAGAAGTAGTAGTATTAGGTCTAGTGTTAGTTCTAGTTTTACACTAATATTGTTACTAGAACTAATACTATACCTAGAACTAGAAACATTCGGGTTTAGCCGAACGTCTCTCAAGATGGCTAAACCCGAATGATTCTAGTTTTAGGTATAGTGTTAGTTTTAATAACAGTGTTAGTGTATAACTAGAGGTTCTAGATCTAGTGTTAGTTCTAGTAACAGAGCTAGTATAATACTAGAACTAACACTAGACTTAAAACCATAAACATTGGGATTTAGCCGTATGTCTCTTAAGACGGCTAAACCCGAATGTTTCTAGTTCTAGATATAGTGTTAGTTCTACTTTTCGTTTAATAAACATATACAACAATCTAACGCTGAACAATTTATTTAGTATCCGATAAAATTTCCGTTTTGTGAACTAAAGTTGACAGTTATCTTAAAAAATTCGTCTCGTCTAGATCTTTCTACGGAACTAAAGCGTAAATTTCTTCTAACCATAAATTTTCACCGAGTCATATTCTACTTTCCATTAGTAGTGATAAATTTTCAGGTTTCGTAAAAGACAGACAGTGAAGGTCTTTCCAATATATTATTTTACTTTGGATCCCGAATATCCAATTTGAATCGCCCGCAGTGCATAAGATTTATAACATTTTTAGGAATCATCTGGTATAAGAATAAATTTGAACTATTCCAAACAAAAAAAAAATCAATAATAGTATTATGAATAGATATGAAATCCATATTATCAAATAAACTCTTTAATTATAGCTTTTACTTTAAACATTTAAAATCAAGATGAAATACAAATATTTAAAACATTAAAGTTTAGTTTTACTTTTTACTATAACTAAAAAGGACCGTTCGTGACGTCAGCGCTGAATAACAATTAAAATAGAACTACAACTAGATCCGAAAATTTTAGATACAATTTTTTTTCTAACCATAATAAATACATCCTCATCAATACAAGATTAACTCTAAGGTCAGTGATTTATTGATACCCATTGTAAGTGAAATATAGCACAACCTTTTAACCCAAAGATCTTACTCAATCAGATTTTCCTTCGAATTTACCAGAACAATTCCGAGCTGATAACGTCAATTGAATGAAGATTTCTGTCGTTGATTTAGTTTCAACGACAGTTCTATACACCTCAGCTTCAGAGAATGTCTCCTTAAAATGGAAATTTTCTACACAAAGCATACGACAAACGTTTTAATCGTAGAACGTTTCAAAAGACAGAGGAGAATGAAGAGATCAAAAGAACAAATTAATTACAAAGATTTTTTTAATCTATCTAAAATGGGATTATTTATTAAAAAGGGATTAGTCATAAATCCCGTTTTCAGGTTTACAAATAATCCTAAAAGGAAATGTTAAGAATTTATTAATGAGATGTTTGTAGCTTTCAACTTTAATACAACAAAAAGAAAATTTCCGTCAAGTTTAATTAATTATTCATTCAGATTTATGGAAAGTCCAAAAATTTAACTTTGTGAAAGAACACTTGAGGTTTGTAAATGGTGGTCGTCGTTTGTCCGGAACGACTCTTAAACTCGAGACAACTTGAACGTCAAGGAAACAATGTTTCCAAACGGTTTATTTTTGAGAGTTGCAATGTTTGCGAAGAGTACCAAGTTGATACACTTTGAAATTTATTGGTTTTTCGTTCGCGTTGAACGAATTCTACTTTAGTTTATATTATTCTATGTTTCTTTTAACTTTTATTTCACTTTGTTTTTAATTCTATCATTTTTTTTGGGGGGGAAAGGAAAGAATGCTAACAAAAATATTTGCCGGAATTTTTCATTAGATACAAACTGGGCACATTCTACATAGTGTGAGTGTGTATGAAAAATTTTCAATCTTTTTCACCATTCTTTCCGGTGGACTAGAAAATTTTTCTCATTATTCCTACTCCTTTTGTAATTGTGTTCATCCTCGCGGCAAATCGTTTCTTTGAAAACGCGTCAACGACGTATTGACTACTTACCACGGGATTACGTATGTAACCTCAATTTTAACACTCCCTCTCTATTCAAACCCGACAAAATTGTGAATTCGAGTTCAACTCGAACTCATCCATTGTATGCAAGAAGTGCAACCTTTGTCGCAATTTGTAAAAAGCTTTTTCCTGAATGTCACTACTACGCCGATATTTTCTCGGTTATACCAAAAATTTTAAAAATGGTGTGAAGAATGTCACATTCTATATAAATTATTCGTTTTAATCTTCTCGGTAATCTAATTGTATTAAAATTTAAATAGATAAAACGCGTTTATTATCTCACTAATTAATAACACACGCTTGCAACGTGAAAACAATCAATTTCGAACTCGCTAACAAAATCAAACAAACCTGTTGATGATGTTAGAACAAATTGATAAAAAAAATCACTGCTTTTTCGAGTGGGTTTTGTTCCAGAAATAGATCCTATTAAAAAAATGGTATAGTTAACGTCAGCAAAACATCGCATTTGCAAAAACCCTCGAAACATAAACGAGAAAAAAAATGATAACACCATGCAAACAATAAGCTCTTTTATCTACCCGGTATTGTGTTGGTTGATTTGCATGCTACCGCTATAAGTAATCATTTACAATTCTGCTACAGAATTTTTAGACGCTGTTATACATTTTCATCAAACACGAAGGTAGCTTTTAGGCTTTTGGATGTTGAAGGGGTATGAATAAGCTTTAAATAATGATTCTTGGAAGCAGAATGAAGTTTGATCACAAATGAGTCGCAAATTAAATTGTTTTTAAATTCTCTCGTTTGTTTATTACAAGGAATTCTAAATCAATGTTTTTAATTATGAAAATACAAATAAAAAGAATAAAGTTGAATAATGATGTAGTACAAAATTTTAGGGTGGTCATAAATAACACTTTGCTGCAGAGTTCATATGGCTATAGATCACTGTAACCGTGCCAGAACAAAATTTATGCACTCACGCATAAATAGAACGTTGCTTTTCGTTTATACATATTAATTCCACATCGACAAACCGCAAATTTTTTATTAGTTGAAATGGTTTTTGTTAGAGTTATAATCATTATTTTTACTGGAATTTATAGTTGCAAATATTTTCTTTTTGATTAGATCTGTAATATAGTCCGTTTTAAAAGTAACCGATAAATTCGATAAAATCATTACAAACAATTTATGAAAAGATCGCTGAAACGGGTCTAAAGATTTAAACTTTTTGCAATTTTTTGATGTATATTTTAAATTTTTTCCGCCATTTTTAAACGAGTTATGACGTCATCGAACTTTTTTTTAAATAGAACATCCCATTTTTTATATCGGAATTTGAAAGAGGTTTTTTTTCTTCATTATGTACAATAAATATTAATATCGGTTACATAAGAACATTTTCGAGAAAAATTAATTTAAAGTTTCATTATTTTCCATTCATTTGATATAGAAAATAGCAGTAGCAGTGCGTAACCATGGCAACCAATTGTTTTGATTTGACATTTCCAAATGTCAAAATTCGATTTTAATTAAATAACCCGTAAAACATATCCAATAAGTTATTTTATTCCATCGATTAGTAGTACCAACCCAACTCATAAATAAAACCAAATTTTGATGTTTTTGATCATTTTCGATTATAACTCATTAATTGTGCATGATGGAGAATTATTTTTTAAACAAAAAATGTTTAGAACTAACTCATAAGACATATTGAGTAACGATATTTACTCCATAAATCAGCATTACCAACCCAACTTACAAAAATAGAAATTTTGACGTTTTCATCAATTTTCTTCTATAACTCATTAATTATATCTGATGGAAAACAACTTTTCATACAAAAAAGACTTAGAATTAATCCATAAAATATATCCAATAAGTTATTTTAATCCATCTATGAGTAGTACCAACCCAACCCAAAAATAAAAACAAATTTTGATGTTTTTGATCATTTTCGGTTATAACTCATTAATAGTGCATGATGGATAATTATTTTTTAAACAAAAAATGTTTAGAATTAACTCATAAGACGTATTGAATAAAAATATTTATTCCATCAATTAGCATTACCAACCCAACTTAAGAAAAATAGAAATTTTGACGTATTCATCAATTTTCTTCTATAACACATTAATTATATCTGATGGAAAACAACTTTTCATACAAAAAAGATTTAGAATTAATCCATAAAATATATCTAATAAGTTATTTTAATCCATCGATCAGTAGTACCAGCACAACTCAAAAATAAAAACCATATTTTGATATTTTTGATCAATTTTGCTTATAACTTATTAATTGTGTATGATGGAGAATTATTTTTTAAACAAAAAATGTTTAGAACTTACTCATAAGACATATTGAGTAACGATATTTACTCCATAAATCAGCATTACCAACCCAACTTTTAAAAATAGAAATTTTGACGTTTTCACAAATTTTCTTTTATAACTCATTAATTATATCTGATAGAAAACAACTTTTCATACAAAAAAGATTTAGAATTAATCCATAAAATATATCTAATAAGTTATTTTAATCCATCAATCAGTAGTACCAACCCAACCCTAAAATAAAACCAAATTTTGATGTTTTTGATCATTTTTGGTTATAACTCATTAATTGTGCATGATGGAGAATTATTTTTTAAACAAAAAATGTTTAGAATTAACTCATAAAACATATTGAGTAAAGATATTTACTCCATCAATAAGCATTACCAACCCAACTTATAAAAATAAAAATTTTGACATTTGCAACAATTTTTTTCTATAACTCATTAATTATATCTAATGGAAAAACAACTCAGAATGCAATGAAATAAATACTCAAATAAAAATTCGAATTCAAAATTAATTTAACCCAATTTTTTGACACAATTATCAAATTTACCTGTTGTTGTTTCTTCATTCTTAAAGCAGACCTGTTATCCTTCGCCTGTTGTAAAAACGGCGCTTTTTGCTCGTTGGTTAATGTACGCCATTTCTTTATAATTTGTTTGTAACGATCACTCCAAGCGGGATATTCAGATTTCCATTCGGGGTGGTTTGTATTCGCGTATAAAACTGCGGAAATCGTTGCTCCACCCCCCAAACCTTCATCAGCTTTCATTTTTTCCGACGATCTTTGATTATTAGACGGGGCTAACGCTCCATCCATATCCATGCCATCATTTACAGACACCCAAGGACTTGGTGGTTCGGAAAATGCTGGACTAAATTGGGGACTACTATAATTAAAAAAAATTAAGTAAAAACAAAATTAAAAAACGCAATATTACTTACTTGCTATATTCAGAATGATATGGTGATTGTGGTGGAAAACTCATCGGTGAATTTAAAGTATTCTGGTTAATATTAGATAAAGTTGATGGGCGAACTGCTGGGGTTGGGATTGGATGTGGAATAATTGGAGATTGCTGTTGTGGAGCTGGTGTAGCTGGATTAAAAACGGTGGTGGAATTTGTTGAGAAAACGCTACTTTCTTGGGATTCTTGTGATTCATCAGTTAAAACACCCTAAAAATTTTATTATAAATAATAAATAGTTCCAATGAATAATTAAACATTTACTTTTACCTTAAAAATGTCTTCAACGTCTTTACTATTAATATTCGGAAAATTGAAATGAGGTCCAAGAATATCACTGAATTCATCTTTGGTATCTTTAGAACTACTTCCGCCAGTTAAAGAATCCGCTAAATCATCAGCTAGGTTAGTATCAGCTAAATTTTCTAAAGTATCCGTATTCTTCGTCAACTCATCATCATCTTCGTTCATTATTGTATTAACCAATTCCGTATCGAGTAGTTCCCCGGGGATCGCCAAATTTNTTCGTCAATTTTCTTTTATAACTCATTAATTATATTTGATAGAAAAAAAGTTTTCATATAAAAAAGGTTTAAAAGTAAGCCATAAAAGATATCCCATAAGTTATTTTATTCCATCGATCAGTAGTACCAACCCAGCCCAAAAATAGAACCAAATTTTTATGTTTTTGTTCATTTTCGGGTATACCTCATTAGTTTTTTTAAAACAGTTTATTGTGCGTTAATGACATTATTTTGAGTAGTATTGTGGAGTTTCTTGTGTTAATTATTGTTATTCATTGTTAACGCTAGCGTTATAATTTCGTAAATAATTGAAATAGGACATATTTATGTTTATTAACATTTTTTTCTGGTAATTTTTTAGTGTTATTGAATTCGGAGCCTAACATTTTTGTATTTAATACGAAAACGGTGGATTTTCTCAATATTCTCTAAGAGTGATAAAAGTTTCTAAACTAAATTTACTATTAGAAACTGCAAAAATAAATGTAGGGTCATGATAGAATAAATAAATTCTGAGCAAACAAACTTTAGAAACAGTCTGTATAGCATTGTTCCCGCGGACCGATCCAACTCAAAAATTGCCTAATGATTTTACATGATATTAGTTTACACTGTACCAAATTTCAACGCTTTACCATAAATAGTGTTTAAGATATTTAGAAAATGTGTTAAAATTTCCTAACTTTGATGGCTTGTATCTTTGTAATTTGAGGACTTTTACTAATTTTTTTTACATGAATCGTCATCATTTTCACTCTAGTACATGTGGTTACATTCGAATCACCGAAGCACCCTGTATATCAAAGTTTGATGGTGAGCTAATAAATCATCCTGTATAGATATTACTATTGTGCATATTTTTATTGAACTAAAACTAGAACGAAACGAAGAACGGAATGGACTGGAATGAGGTAAAAAAGAAATTAAATGAGGTTATAAAAATTATTACATACACATTAATATTTAACATAATCCCAAAAATATCTTCTTTATCAATTTTCTTTTTTGTTTAGATATCAAGGTGACCTCAATTAAGATCTCTTGTCTCTTTTTCTCCGTTTTCATTCTATCTAGATATAGTTTCCTGAAGAGATCGAACATTTATGTGTTAATGAAACGTCGTCGTCTTTTCTATTGAGGGGAAAATCGAGGACTTCTGAAATAACATTTCCGTAAAGATATTTTTGTTATCTTCCATAAATAAGTTGTTTTTTTTACTTCATTTTGCTTAATTTATTAACCATACAATTGTAGATTGAGGTTAAATGTAAGATTAAAGATTTTTGAAATTCATTTTATGCTTTTGGGCAACAGGACAATCTAAAGGTGAAGAGAAAATAAGAAAACTCGTTGAATATAGAATGCTTGTTTAACTAAGTTTTAGATTAAGGAGTGCGAAAAATATATTTTTTAGAATTTTTATTGAAACGTTTAATGCATAAAATTTTACAATTTGTTAAGCATTGTAGTCACGCAATTTAACCGTTATTAGTTTCCATACAACAACGTGCTATAACGCACTATGTAAACGATCCACGCACGATCTCTGAATCACACAGCACATTTACTACTCTTTACACGGTGCTACTAAACGGACATTAATTCCGTGGTTGGTGAAAATGTACGGAACGAATTAGGTACTTGTGTAAATTCATGTAAATTGCACTCGAGAAAACCGTAGATAAATTAAAACCAGCCGTGTTGAGGCGGCGAAATAGCTACTTTTATTATTACAATTAAACTTAATTTAAAAATTGAACAATTTTAAGTAATGCCAACTCAACACGTAGGTAACGAAATTTATTGCGTTTTTCTTTATGGTTGAGATTTTTCGAAAATTTATTTTTTTAATAGCGTCTGGGTAACATATCTAACGGTGGATACATCATAAATTAAAACATAAACAAATATAAAGATACGAAATTTATAAACAACGTGTGGCCCAACACTAATAATAAAGATGTACAAAAGCAAAGTTTAATTCTAGTTATAAATTATCTAAAGTAAACTAAGGTGTAGTAAACGAAAATTTTACAAGGTGTATTTCCTTAAGGTTGAAAGTTATTAGAATATGTTTTTCGTTTTATAATTTTTATTACTCTTATTACTTTAGTTATTTTTTAGTCTTTAGATTAAGCAAACACGTCGTTTTTAAAGGAATAATTACGTGAACGTATATAAGGTCGAATAAATCCTTACACTGGGCTTATTTTAAAGTACACACCGGGGGGCAGAATCCCATAAATTACAAGATATTGTAATGCAACCCACGCACATAAAAGTCGTAAAAGATATTGCAATCGAGACGGAATTATAAAAGCACCAGCTTTTTTAAGTTTATTGGTAGTGTTTAAAGTTTCTTACGTTTGCCGAAAATATTAAAACAAGATTTATTTTTTGTATTATTCGTACAAACCACGTAGAAAATCAGTCAGTCTCGTTGTTGTAGTTATTAAGTTGATTTAATTATTGTTTAGTGCAGTGTGGAACCAAACCATTTAATTTCATAATATAATATATTGATAGTAAGTTATCTTTAATTCATTCTCAAACGAACTCGTAATTTCTCAACCTCAAAACATTTGGTCCTTCGAGCCGGATCGCTCGCGTGCGGTAAAACGTTTCGGACATTTTAACAAAACGTTTCTCAATTTTCGTGAAATAATATTAAACAATTATCGGGTTCGTAAATCAACTCATTCTTTAATCTCCGATTCTCAAATTTATCTCAAATAATCGTTAAAATTCGTTTAAATCAGATAGAAAATGTCTGAAGTTAGAATTACTCTAGATCGACAGATCGAACTTTACGGTCTAATTTCGCGTGCAATGACAAATTTGAAAAAACTAGGCGATGCAAATGTGACGATCGGTCGAATAAAAAGTCGTTTAAATTTATTAAATTCAAATTGGGCTAAATTCCAGCAAATTCATGAAACTGTAACTGGTAATCGCGATGAATTTCAAGATCACGTTTATTTTAAGGACGATATATATGCTGAGTGCGAAGAACAATACGTGAATATTCAAGGAGACATGTTCGATCTTATAGATAAGTTATCCGCTCCCTCTGACAACTTAGCAAATAATTCTTTAAATAATACAACACGTGCTATAAATTCTCATTCTCCTAAATTACCAAGAATAGATTTACCAAAATTCTCTGGAGACTATCTACAATGGAAACATTTTCATGACTTATTCGATTCTATGGTTAAATCTAATTCAGAACTCTCTTTGGTCGAAAAATTACATTATTTAAAAATGAGTGTAACGGAAGAACCCGCCCAACTTTTAAAAAACATCGCGATTTGTGAAGATAATTTTGCTCGAGCATGGGATATTCTTATAGATCGTTACGAAAATAAA